GATAAGTGGTGGTAAAAGATATAGCTTTCAATTTGGGGGCTGAGCCTGAAGAAATACTGAGAGAGACAGAAAAAGTTTTTAGGGTTAATTCAAGGGTTGCGAGGTGGAGGAATTTGCCACGAGACGTGGTTATTTATTTTTCTAGAAGATCACTTTGTAATGAAATTTTACAGGCTTTTTATAAGCAGAGATTTCAAATTGCAACTCAAGATGTTATAATTTTAAAAGAAATACCTTCAAAAATTCTTAGAAAAAGAAAGGATTTTGCTTTTTTGGCTGATGAGCTAAAAAAATGACAGGTCCGGTTCAGATGGGAGATACCGGCTGGAATAGCGGTGAATTATATGGGGATATATCATAGACTTAACACAATTTCAAAGGCGAAAGATTTTTACACTTCTGTTTTGAAGGCGGGCTCTCTATCATCTTTACGACCTGAGATTACAGAAGAAAAGTCGGAAGGGCAGCTGGTTGAAGGTGCTATGTTATTGGATGTAGGAGACATACAGACTGAACCTTTGCAGCAGTGTCTTGTGACAGAAGATTTTTTTAAAGAAACCGAGAATGACTCGTGCAGCCTATAAACGTAAAGTAAAAGAACAGCAGAAGGCGGATGTTGGTATAAAGAAAAGGAAATGATGAACTTTTGTAGTAGTTTTTTGAGATGGAAGATGTTTTAAAGGAATAGTGAATGATTTGTGTAATATGTAGATGTAAAGAAAAAGAACAATAAATAGTATGTTTTAAAGGAATAGTGAATGATTTGTGTAGTATGTAGATGTAAAGAAAAAGAATAATAGAAGGTGATGATTTAGTGGAAAAGTTTAAATATTTGGGAGTATATATATTATAAAATTTTTAATTTAAAGTGTATAAAAATAATTATGAAATATTATGGGTAAATGTGTAAAAGAATTTAAATTCTAATGATCTCTGTTGGTGAGAATTTTAGTGATTAAGATGAATGGTTTGTTGAAACTTCTTAAGCAGGAGGGTATTAATAGATTTACTTAGGGGTGGGAAAAAAAGCAAATAGCCAAGTTTATCGAATGTAAGTTTGTTGGTTGGGTTATATTGGAAGGAAAATTTTGTGTTTATTATGGATGAATGGTTGTTTAAAAGAAATATACTCCTCAGCGTGGAGAAGATGGATAAATTACATGTAGAGTAAATAGAGTTGATATGGGATTAAAAAGTATTATTAAAATTATGAATAATTTTTAGTTTTTTAATTTGGAATTGCTTATATTGTTATTTTTGTTTTTTTAATATTTTATTTGTTTAAATTTGTTTTGTATTTGAGTTAAAGTACATTATTGATTTTGTTATGTGTATAGTTGGATAAGTTTATTTAGAATTTGTTTGTTTATTTGTAACCCTGTAACCAGCTCTGGGAAGTGAGGGGGGAGAGGGAGGGAGGGGGTTATTTTAGGGGGGGATATTGTTAAAAACTTGTATAAAACTTTTCAATAATAAAAAAAAATCAAAGAGAACAAACCAAATCAAACCTTATATTACACATAGAAAGGGAGGAAATGAAGGAATGGAAATGAAGAAGAAGGAAAGTATAAGAAACAAACTAGAGAAGAAGAGGTCAAGCAAGAAAAAGAATAGCAATGATATAAAATAAAAGTATTGGGCTGCAATTCATTTGCAAGGCAGAGCTGTGTCATAACTCAAGACTGTTAATAATGGGTAACAATGAAATAAAATTGCACATAAAAGCAAATGCATGTTTTTCCCCCCTCTTTTGGTTCCCTGAGCTCCAAACCTATCCAAAAGGCTATCATTAGGGTGATCAGTAGTGGTTCAATTGCAAAGCTAATGAGAGTGAACACATTGATCACTGAATCAAATATGCCCTATTCCACTTTTTGGTTCAAGGAAGTACCAAAAGGCTTAGACTTCCCAGATTGCGTACTTGAGACAGAGCTTAATACATTAATTTGAATTGGAGACAATATGAGTTAAGGATCTGATCGGACTTGAATCAATTAAAAATTATTCAAATTGCCAACCCTTGTTGAGACTGAATTTTGCTCTGAGATGATGCCAAAACCCTGATAAAAAGAGGTTGCTCAAGAAGGTTTGAGGGAAGGACAGGGAAAACTGTCCTATAAAAATAGCAGGCACCAATCCAGCTGGCCAACCCCACCCCCCACCCCCGAGCTAGTTAAAGGAAAGGCACATCTACCACACTTAAGAGTATTTTTTAAATCATCTGTTAGCTAGCTAGCAATCTCTCTGACCACTGCTCTGTGTCATTAGCAGACTGTAAAATGAAACAGAACTTTGAGATGGAAGATAACTGATATGTTCCCTTCCATATCGCTGGCGAAGAGATGGCTCTATAATCAGGCATGCTGAGAAACACTATGAGACAGAGGATAAAAATAAAAAGACTCAGTCACTTACGGAGGAAGCAGTACCTCAGGCAGCTGATGTGGGGTATTTGGAAAGGGCAGCAAATCATTAGTTATTTATTTTTACTGCCAGTAAAAGGAAGCTCATGGGAATATTTGCTTGCTGGATTATCTCACAGGCAAGAATAATTTGACCAGCTCTGATGGACATGCATTGTTTCCTCATCTGTCACTAGCAGGTAAATATCTTGGCCTGGCTCAGCATCAGTTCTCCTGGTCTGAATAAGGCTTGCTCCCAGAAAAGCATGAGGAGAATGTCATTTAGGTACTTTCTGTGGAAGCTTTGAATGTTTACACACAAATAAAGCAATTCCAATCAGAAATAAAATGTATTCAGCTCAACTACATTATGGGGGTATTTTCATACTGTCATTTGTTTTTATTTTTTTTAGAATCACAGCTCCTTGATCCTTTTTTTGAAATTGAAGAATAATAAATAAGAGTGGGGCAAGAGAAATCTCAAACAAATTCTATAAGTCCCTTAATAAGTACAAATATCAGTTTAGTTTTCAGCCTAGTACAGTGCTTCTCAACCTTTTTAATGTCGTGACCCCCAACCAGTCGTAACTACTCAACCGGTCGTAAGTCGAGGACTACTCAACTGGTGCAGCACTGTTTGCAGAATAGGACTTTTGGCGGGCTCAGCAGGGCAGAGACAGCCTGGACAATTCCTATTGGCTTTTGAAAGCTAATAGAATTAGACTCTATTCAAGAGAGTCTATTCTATTGGCTTTCAAAAGCCAATAGAATAAAAGAGAGTAGCACAGCTAAGGAAAAGGGGGAAAAATGGCAGACTGCGTTGTTTGGCGACCCCCGTGAAATGGTCGTTCGACCCCAAATGGGGTCCCGACCCACAGGTTGAGAACCACTGGCCTAGTATATCTTTACTAGAAGACAGGAGCCATGCACTTCTATACTGGGGGGGGGGAGCTTCATCACGAAAGAGCCTGCAAACACAGAGAGGGAGAGAGAGGAAGAGGGAGTGGGAGCGGAAGAGGGAGAGGGAGGGAGAGAGAGAGAGAGAGAGAGAGAGAGAGAGAAAGAGAGAGAAAGAGAGAGAGATTAGATGTGTTGCTATATCAACCCCTTATGAACAGCAGTAGTTTCCTACTAATGTTATAGATAATTTAATACAGTTTTATATCATAAGGAACATCACTGGATGGAAAATCCAGTAAATCTCAGCTCATCAGAATATATTAAGTTTATAAGTGATTTGTGCTTTTTAATACCTACAGTCATTGCAAAGTATCCTTGCTTTAATCATTTACATGTACATGTGTACTGTGTTGCATCCATATTGATCAATAAAAGCTTTTCGGTCTAAAATTATTTGGCAAGCTACATAAACAAAATAGATTCTTCATTTTTTTCAAAGACCAAAATGATAACTTCATGGTTTTTCTCAGATTTACAGTTTTTTTAACCACTATTTTACAGCAAGAAAGTTTCCTAATAAGTTAAGATATCCTGCAGGACCATTGCCCTTTCTCTTTTCCCCTTGGTAATATTTAATTTCATTATTAAAAAATTCAAAGGCCAAAACTGCAACTGGGATCTATGTCAAAAAGCTGCAATGGAGCGATTATTCCTGTTTAGCATTACAGTCAGTATATTCTATTCCATTCCTCCTGTCCAACCAGGTTTTTTTTAATTCTCTACCCATAAACATGCATAAATGTCATATATACACATTCAACAGCCAAGCCATATTCACTTCTAAGTAGGTTCATGCTGTATTCCTTGTATTACTTTGGAAGTTTTTCTATTTTGCAAATGTCAGGACTTTCCAAAGCTATATATTATTATTGCATTTATTAGCATTGCCTTATATTATATTTTGCCCTTCCCAAGTCCTTCATTGTGCATTTTGCATACATCTATACAAAATATTTCTATCTATGTACTAGTTTTCTATTCAGGTTGAATGAAGACCCTTTAGCTATATTGGTCAATCAGAAACTGGGGCTATCACCAAATACTTATTATTTTAACTGTACTTCTTTATATATAGTACTGCAGCTGTATCTATATAGATATGCACAATCCCTAAATATCCTGATTGATTGCAGTGCTACAGAAGAGGTAATGATAAATCAAACTATAGAGATTTAAAATTAATCTTTATAGTGCAGTTTTACAACCATTCTGTATCTGTCAAATATCTAGCTAGTATACAAGTGGCACAAGCCATTATGAAAAAGTGGCTATAGATTCCAGCTCCATGTTCAAATCACTTTAAATAAAACTGTTTTTTCAACAAAGCCAGTTTGAACAGTCAGTTGTACAGTATTAAATATTGGCCAGTCAAGCAAGCTATGCATATGCCCCAACTATATTCAGATTTCAGTTAAATGGTCAGAAATTCATATTTCTATTTAATTATTGCTGCTTATTTAATTCCTTACACTAGGATATGAAATAGTTTCTTTTTGTTTGTATTTTTATTTTATGTACTATTAATGACTATTGTGTAAATTGTTTGAGTTTGGCCTGGAGTAATTTTTAGTAAGAATAATTTTTGGATTTCTATAACTATTGTTATGTCTGAAGCTTTCTAATTAAAGAAAATGTTTTTGTTATAGAGATGAATTCAATATAAATTAAAAATTTTTTTTATGTAGGATGGAGTCATTTTTCTTGGAGCAACACATTGGCAATACACAATAGTATTTACTTTTAACCTGCATGAGCCATAGGGAGATATATGCCAACTTCATGCATTCTTTAAGAGCATCATTTAAGCAAGGACCTATACATGTAGCCTACTTGAGGATTGTAAGTCCTCTTGAAGTGTAGTAAATATGATAAATTCATAGCCTGCTGCTTACACTGTGCAAGAACCATAGCTATGAAAGTATTGTCCCTTGCTGTTGATTTAATACAAATGTTGGTTGAGATTCTGGTAATTGTAGTTCAATACATTTACAGATTCCTGGCTGAAGAAGATTGTAGCAGAAAGCTTGCTCTAACCAGAGTAAAACGAAATTGTAATCCGGTTTAGCTACATGACACAAATTGCTTCATGAAGAACATACTCACCTCTAACCTAGCAAATATGAGTCATTAGGAGGTACAAGCTCATATATTTTATCTTTGTTGGCAAACCAGCATAGTAAAATTTGTGGAAGAGGGAATATTAGTGTGCTTGTACTTTTTTACATATCTGGGCAGGGTTGCCGCCTGAGGTTAAACTGTAGCTAGATTGTTATGGATAGATCCAAATGTCAGTTAATCATAAGGGACTTCCTTCTCCCCACCCCATCCCAGAGAGACTATGCTCCAGGTTCTCTTGTTTAGAGTTGTCATCTTATGGGACCTAGCAAGTGTGTCTTTTCAGGGATTGCCTCTGTTCTATGATCTTCCCCTGATATAAAACAGGTCCCAACTCTGCTCCCCTTTAGGAAAATCATTAAAGCCTGGATGTTCCTATAGGATTGGATTGGAGCCAATGCAATAGATCTCCTTTGGATTGCTTTGTTTTGTTGCCATTTTATATTTATATTTTATATTCATATTTAATGTTATGTGGTTGGTGCAGGGGGTTTTGATTTGCTTTTTTTTGCGTCACTCAAAGTCATGCTGTTTTGGGCAGCCTTATAAATCTTATTAATAAATAAGTAACAAATATATCTATTTCTGGCCTCATTCCTTGATCTGTTCCACTCAATTCTATACTTTTTTTTAATTGAAAAGTTTTATACAAGTTTTTAACAATATCCCCCCTAAAATAACCCCCCTCCCTCCCCCCCTCACTTCCCAGAGCTGCTTACAGGGTTACAAATAAACAAACAAATTCTAAATAAACTTATCCAACTATACAAATAACAAAATCAATAATATACTTTAACTCGAATACAAAACAAATTTAAGCAAATAATATATATATATATAACAATATAAGCAATTCCAAATTAAAAAACTAAAAATTATTCATAATCTAAATAATACTTTTAAATCCCGTATCAACTCTATTTACTCTACATGTAATTTATTCATCTTCTCCACGCTGAGGTGTATATTTTTTATCTCTTCCTTTTTTTTTTAATTAAGAGTGGTGAAAAATGGCACTGAGATGTTGATTCTTTGAGTGAAAGGACCGGAACTTCTATTTGAAACAATATAACAGATTTTGTATTTATATAAAATGCAAGAATCTTTTTTTTTTCTTTTAAGGGGGCTTTTGTCTTTTTTTCCTCCCCCCCTTTTTTTGTCTTTGATTTTTCTTAAGCCTGTTGAAGAAACATAGGTTATTTTACATGTCAGAAGCTTGTAATATAATAACTTTCATTTTTTAAATCACCTGGGAAGTTTTTTTTGTAGATATTGTTTTTTTTTCTTTCTCTGCCATCAACTACTCATTTTTGTTCTTTCTCTTGGTCAAGAGTATAACATCTGGACTGTAGGTAGAGATAACCACTGGATAGCAGCAAAGAGAGTTTTCTGTATCTGTCTGCTATTATCTAATAATCACTTAGACTTTCATAAGAGGCAGTTTTGAAGCACCTAAAATTCTGAGACATTGCATCTAGAATCTAGATGAACCATTTATTTTTAGGCTGATTGTCACATATGGTACTCAATAACCTCACTTGTGATGCGTGAACATTGATTTTCACTTACGTTACAGAGCTATAATTATATTGTGTCTATAAACATGCTAATTGCTTAGAAAAATATATAGCTTTTCCCAGAGCTGAAAATATTGGCATAGTAATTTTCTGTTTTGTCCAGAAATCTTGTGTGACTACCAAATAGATTTTTAACTAGGCATTTTCACTCAAAACTTGCAGCAGTCTGCAGTGACCTTTTCTTTTCAATTGCCAATTACTTTTTCACTTACCACTCAAAATTTGGGCTGCCAGATCTGGGCTACAGAATTCAGGGACAGGCCCAAGATGGCAGCAAAGAGTAGTATTTATTTTATTTCTTTGCTACCATATAGTGATCAGGGTTTGTGCAGCCCAACACTAGTCCTACTGAAAATAAAGCTAATGTTTTAAGATTTGCCAATAATACAAACATGAATTGTCAAGAGCCAGTTAAAGCAAAGTAATTACATGTGAGCCTTCTATATAAGTAGTGTGGCTGGAACTGTATGCATTGCTGTGGTCTCATTAATACTTGCTGAAATAATGCTGACTGCATTATTTATTTGGCCTCATGGAATTCTCTTGCATTTCTCAAAGTTTTCTTATTTCATTTAAATTACAGACAATTAGATGTTAAAGTAGCCATGGTAAGTATGGTAAAAGCAAAAGAGAGTCTGCCAAGATAGTCTGGCTGTAGGAAATCTCTCTTCCCACTGAGTTTCACCTCTGATTTATAGCATTCATTATCTATAGCTTTCTATCTGTCTATAGCTTTCATTAAGAAGCTGTAAGATGCTCTTGGAGAATATGATTGAATTCAAATTCCCATCAGTGCAAGCTACTATCAAGTGCTGCAAGGACTAAAAAGATTCAGTGGCATGACATTGGAACATGATTTAAATTATGCCATATTCTACTGAGTAGTCAAGTTGTGGAATGTGGAACAAGCGTCATCTGGTCTCTAACCTAATTTCTCTGCACTTCTAAGAACTTCAGCTGAATATCCTAATTTCCCAGAGTATTAAAACTATAAAAAAATATATAGATGGAAATTCTAAAACATTTCTGGCTAGGCAATTGGGGGCAAAGTTTATAATCTTATTTTTTCTGATGTCTTTTTAAACCCAGAATTCTATTCAGTTCTGCCAAGAATTGTCTCAACATTTGGAGAAAAGTTAAATTTCCAAGCAGCTGAATTCCAATCAGGTGAGATCATTTCACATTAGAATTTTTCAGGCATCCTAAGAGAAGTTCCACATAACCACCAGCCTCATCGTTCTCTTCTTGTATTGCAGTTTCATATGAATGACCTCACTACAGTCCAAAGGGATGATGGAATGGAGAGAAAGGAAAGATCAACTGCATGAATGAATCAGTACTTCATAACAGTTGCCCATCTGCTTTTATTTCTTCATTGCATTTCCTTTTGTAACAAGGAAAAAAAAGCAAGTGATGGCTCTAGGCAAAACCATCCCTTTCAATTGTTCATTAAAATGGGCAAATGATGCCAAGGTGATTGAAGGAGGAGGGAAAATCCCAGGAAGTTGTAGAGTGATGAAGGTAGAGTTTCCAGCAATGGAAAACAACCACACCATTAGTTGCTCCAACACTGTAACATTCCTTTTTAATATTTCAGTGAATTGTTTGAAATATCCCTGGCTGGCATTATTGGAAGAAATAGAATTTATCCATTTTTTATATAATGACATATCTCTTTCTCTATCTCCCCAATCAGATTCAACAAAATCAAAAAGGACACAAGCAAGCATGTGATCCTGATGGCTGTGCACCCAAGGACTATGCACATGATTGTGAATGCATGCAAAAAGCTTAGCTTGTCTAATGTTTATACAGTTCATTAATTCCGAAGAACCAAAGATTTGCCTTGAGAAGAAATAATTTCATGCTATTCAGGCCTGTATTAGCTCATCTTCTCTCTGTGCCCAAATATAATTTAAAGAACGGCATCTCATCTTCAATGTATTTTTTTCAGTGTGTTTATTCACTGATGTAGAAGAGATTATTTGATGAGATCTATGTATTAAGCTAAGTGCAAATGATTTGCTTACAAACATCAAAGTGCAGAAAAGAGCCCTAGGCTATTTGATTGGGTGCCAGTAAAACAGTTTCTTCCACAGAGTTTTAGGAGGTACAATTTTTACTGAGAATAATGTATAAAGCAATGGGATACTGAAAGTTTTCACCTAAGTGAATATAAAACTAAAGTATTTTTAAGAATAGCAAGAGACTGAGAAGAGAGGAATTGAGTTATTTCATATAATTTTTTTTAGAAAGATTTACAAAATAACTCTAGCATAGATTTAGGCCAGGCTGAGTTTAATCTTAAATTATTTCTAATACACAAAATGGGATGGAAGCTCATAAAACCCATTTCCTCTCCCCTGGCTGGGTGGAATTTTCCCAGATATGATGCCTTCAATATATTGTGAGTTTAGCCTGGGCTGATTTGGATATTGAAAACTGGGCTGGTTCTTGTTTATTCAACAGAAATCCAAGGAAGTGTACAGTTTTTAATGTAGTCACATCATGATCTCCAGTAAAGGTTTCCCTGCCTTGAGCTGAATAAAGCTATGGGTAGGAGTAAAGATGCCAATCTCTTGGGGGCAGGGGAAAGGAAGTGTTGAAATCCTACATTTATGAGAGATATTTAGTGCTAGGGGTATGTATTTGCATATGGTGTAGGGAATTGGGAGAAGGTAACAGACTTCTCTAACATGCCTTATGAGGGAAGTTCTGATATCTATCCTGGGATCCACATTTGCCTGTAGTATTGCTGGCTAAATTAACTAAATATTGGGAATTCAGCTGTCTTGAAAAACTAAGAGAACAAAGAATGCACTGTCTACCCATTGCAAATAAATAGTTGGGATATTTCTCTGTGATAACAGCTGTAATTCGTCATGTTTTAGATACAAACTTGGAATTTGACATTTCCCAGAATTAAAATCTGGGACTGGACTATAATTGCTTAGGAACAGTAGGCTTGGCTGGTAAAAATGTTAAAGTATATACAGTTTATGAAAAAGGAATCAAAGGGATCAAGTCTTCTGCATCTGTCCAGTAAAACTCACTCTGGTATTACAGATCCGAAGGTGGCATAATTACAGCAAGATTAAGGATTTTCCTGGTCACTTGAAGGACTCATTTCCCCTGAAATATGTTTATCTGAGAATCTGAGCTGACGAGAACAACAAAGTAATAAAAGTGGGGGGACACTTTTTCAGCCCCACATTTTATAAATGCTTTGTCAAAGTGCATCAGTACTCTTGCTGCAAGTTTTTGAAAAGGCATTCCCTAAGTATACTTTATCATTCTGTTGAATTTACAATTGATGAGCAATGGGGTAATGAAATCATTATAATTATTTATAGGATACTAATTTTTAAAATTAAACTTTTTTGTTTAAATATTTTTTTGTTTAGTTTCTAAAAAGATTATTTTTAGCATTTATTGATAGATAGAAGTTGTCTTTAAGATTTTACTGGAAAAAGCAACAGAAATATTTAAAATATAGATGTTATTTATTTAATGTATATTTTATTTTCTCCCAGATAACATCATGCTTCTTTATAGTCTCTGTTAATTAAAGCATAGAAGTATCCCAGAGATACTGAAGCCAAAGGTCGCTTCTGCAATTCAGAGCTCTATAATTGTTTTTACTTTACAAAAGCCTCTCTTGTGTAGTGGTCCTTAGAGATTTTAGTGGTCTGAAAAAAAGAAAGTTGTATTCAAATGAAAGGCAAAAAAAATTGACTTGTTTGTTTTTTAAACCCAATCATGAGAAAAATATCATGCTATTGTTTAATGGTTTTTTTTTTTGGGCTTGGGAAAAGAGAAAATGTTTTTTGTTTACAAGCAGATATTTGCAGGGTCCTTTTGGCAATATTTCTGCAAGCTCATGCTATCATACTCAAAATTTAGAAAGAAATCCTAGCATTAAAGTAAGACCATAATAGATGATAGATCAAAAGATAATAGATCGAGAGATGATAGATGATAGATAGATAGATAATAATATTTTGGAATTGGAAAGCTATCACTATATTTTAAATGCATGTATTGCCACAATGACATAGTTTTGCACATTAAACAATGTATATTTGTATCATTTGTACTTCACTTGACTCTTAGTTTCTTCTTGTGGATGCCCATAAGTATAGTCCTACAACCCAATCTTGATCTGAAAGAAGTATACAGCTGTGTATACTGTTCCTTATATGGCATATATGCATTGGCTATTTTATGCCTGAGTAACCATCCCATGGAAAATTAACCATCAGGTTATTGGTGAGTTTAAAATATCTGAGTGGAGTCAAAAGGCCATTAATATCAATGTATATATCAATCTTGAACCCATATTTATTTTTACTGTGTTTATATTTCTCTATTAGATCCCAAAATATTTATCTCTTAATGTCCCCATTTCTCTGCCATTACTAATTATCTCTTAAGCATTTAAGCCTGAATCTCTCTCCTCAAAAATGTTTGTACAGTAAATATTACAAATGAAAGCCGTTTTTCTACATACTCCCATAAATATCTTATTACTAATTGGCAAAATATTATGTTTGTTCTGAATAATTGTATATCTAGAGAATTGCTCTACCATTTCCACAAATCTGAGTAAACATTCTTGAAAATCACTAAAAATGCTCAAGATACTGTCAATAGATAGCTACAACTTATGTTGAGTTCCCATAACACAAATATTCTGAATGTCACAGATTATGTGATTCAAATTAAATATTCAAGCAGATGCAGAACACTTTAGATGAGTTCTACATCATAATTACAGGAAAATATCCCATTGGTATTTACCCAAATGAAAGAATTAAAAACTTACTTTTATCAAAGAGATAAAATTGGATGGAAAAAATCCATTTTGACAACTTTTTCAAATTTTTATAATTTGCACCACATCAAATGTTTTCTCCACATCTAACAGTCATGACATACATGACATATATTATATTTGTAAATATTATATTTTATAATATAAAACATAGATTTCCATTTTATCAGAATACAGTGATAAAATGTTCATGGAAAATCTAATACTGTAGTCCATTGACTTGATATCCTTTCATGAAATCAGTTTGTGCTTAGTAAATTATAGAATGTTTCTATAATCTTTGTATAAGGCTAGCTGTCAACATTCTGGCATCCCCATTTGACAAGGATATTGAACAATAATTCACATTGTATGTGGAGGCCTTTTCTGTTTATAATGGTTGTATAAGTCTCATAGTGTATTAATTATAGGGCCCTCTTTTCAAAAGAGTCATTATATATATCTTTAACAATATATTTTTATTTTAACAACCCTGTAATCCCTTGCATCAGGGTGGAGTCAGGGCAACTAAATGGAGCTGAGAGTTTACTGGCTGGATGCCCTTCCTGACACCTCTGTGGAGCTCACAGCAGATATTTTCTCTTTGCACCCAGGGAGAGAAATATCTGTCGCTACCTAGGATCAAACTCATAGCCTCCTGGGATGAGAGCTCTGCCTCTAGGCCATCACACCACTCATATCTCTAACAATATAGGGACTGGATTTTACTTAAATGTATTCCACTCAGTGAAAATCTCAACTGTCTTGAGATCTTTCATTATTCAGTGGTGTCAAATATCCCCTGCAAAGCTAGAAGTGTGGCTAAATTACTTGAATGGGTGCATAAAATTTTTGGAAGATTTATTTTGTCTGCTCAACAATTATTTCTACATTTGCAGATAAGCATTATTCTTATTCAACAAATTAATCAATTTAAGCAAAATCACCAATTAAATTAACTGTCCGAAAGTAAAATATAAAGATCAAGGTTATTTTAAAAAAAATCTATAAAAAGAAAAAAAAAATCCTGTCAGAATAGGCTGGTTATCAATTTCCAAAACAAAAACAAAAAGATATTTACTAAAAAAAAAACTGTAAGGGAAGTAGAGGAGCCCCGCTTCCCTTAAATAGGGGTAGTATTACATTCTGTGGGGATTTGAAATGCCTGAACACTAACTAGACCAGTGGTTCTCAACCTGTGGGTCGGGACCCCATTTGGGGTCGAACGACCATTTCACGGGGGTCGCCAAACAACGCAGTCCGCCATTTTTTCCCCCTTTTCCTTAGCTGTGCTACTCCCTTTTATTCTATTGGCTTTTGAAAGCCAATAGAATAGACTCTCTTGAATAGAGTCTAATTTTATTGGCTTTCAAAAGCCAATAGGAATTGTCCAGGCTGTCTCTGCCCTTCTGAGCATGCCAAAAGTCCCATTCTGCAAACGGTGCTGCACCAGTTGCATTGTCCTCGACTTACGACCAGTTGAGTAGTTCTCGACTTACGACCGGTTGGGGGTCGCGGCATTAAAAAGGTTGAGAACCACTGAACTAGACCAAATTAAAATCTTCAAAGTCTATTGGGACACCCTTTTTCACTCTTCCTTTCTTTTCTCGAAGCCAAATTTTTGGCTCAAATTCATATAGCATCTCCTTTGGAATTTACACAAAGAAAATAAATGTACAAATAAAATCATTAAAGTCTATTCTAGTTTAACCTAGCAGTATCCTAGAATGAAAAGCAGGGCTAGGAATGACATTATAGCTGCCTTTCCAATATTTGAGGGATTGTGACAAAGAAGAGGGGTCAACCTATCCAAAGCATCTGAGTGCAAGACAAAAAGTAATGGATAGAAAATTTCAAGCAGAGATCCAGCCCAGAATTAAGAACAAATTTTCTGACAATGAAAACAATTAATCAATAGAACGGATTGCTTTCAGAAGCTGTGTGGGATCCATCACTTGAGGTTTTAAGAAGAGATTGGACAGCCATTTATCCAGAATGGTATAGACTCTCTTGCTTGAGCAGGGGATTGGACTAGAATACCTCTAAGATCCCTTCCAACTCTAATTGTTCTATCATTCTGTTATTCTGTATATTAATGTATTAGATTCAAGATTGGGACACCTAAAATCAAAGTGAGAACTTGGAGGCTTAGGAGACTGAAACTGGGAAAATATATGTTCTTTTGTATTGCATTGTATTGTATTCCAATATTCTTCAAAGAACTCTTTAGTTACACTTTGTCTCTTCTGTTTGAATGTCTAGGGAAAACGTCTGAGCTCTTTATTAAATTCCTTCTTTCTGACACAGAGTATTCAATTACTTGCATGGTAACCAATTCTCTGTGAAAATGAGGCAATAGATATGCAAAGATGACCAAGAATGAGCATTCTTCTACAAATATCTGTGATTCTGTAAATTTTCTCTTATTATAAATACTTTATCTGCATGTTAATGTTAACAATAATAATTGAAACATAGGAAGACTGAATTAGATCACCCATTTTTATAACACGGTATTGACAAAAGCTTATACAGCATACTGAGCTACTCTTAGCTGTATCCATGATTTGTTAACACAACTGAATCATTGTGTTTATATAACACAATATGTATAATACCTACTTGATAAAAAAATAAATATTTGTCAGATCCCTAAGATGACACAGAAACAAAAGGAATGATACAATTATAGGATATATAATGCCTGTTTTAAAAGAGTTATTTGTATACCAATAGATAAAGACCATAATAATGCTTACTAAGCTAATTAATTCAAACTGGTATATTTTGCATGTAGAAGAACCAATAGAACTAAACCTAGCCATATTTTTCAGAAATTACAAAAATCTGATTAAAGAAAGAGAAATATGTGCATTCATTAGACTTGCCTGGCATTTTCATTAAGATAATAATAATAATGAGAAACTTCCTTACAGTTAGAACAATTAACCAATGGAACAACCTGCCTCCAGAAGTGGTGAATGCTCCAACACTGGAAGTTTTTAAGAAGAGACTGGACAGCCATTTGTCCGAAATGGTGTAGGGTTCCTGCCTGAGCAGGGGGTTGGACTCAATGACCTCCAAGGTCCCTTCCAACATTATTATTATTATTATTATTATTATTATTATTATTATTATTATTATTATTATTATTATTATTATCTAAAACAAATAATTATATAATACAGACTGTATGAAAAAATATGTCCCATCATCACTACCACTGCATATTCCAAAAATATAAACTATGCTCAGTGAATGGGATTTTATGATATATCCCCTCTAACTTATTTGACAGTAGCATATATAAATGGGCCTATGTAAAGGCCTTTAGGAATTTGGTTCAATACAAAAATAATCCTGGATGCTCCCCCTGCAATGCTCCCTAATGCCCCTACAATGCTCCCTGGGAATTTCACTATATCCCAGTTGCCATTATGTTCATATGTTGCCTGAGAATGGTTCTGATTCTCTAGAATCTTGGGAATTCAAAAATTCAGGGAACATCTTACATGATTAAAGTTTTACTTTCAATACTTCTTCTAAACAAATTGAAAACTATGCAACAAAGTTAAAATAAGCCAGGCTAACTAGAATAGTTAGTGTAATAGTATAATATAAGCCCAGTCTTCACGCACACAAAGCTCTGAGAATATAGATCTTAAAGATTTAGACTGACCCACCTCCAGAAAGAAAAATTACCTACACTAATTTTGTCTTGAACATATTTAATTTGAAAAGAATTTAATAATTATCATACAGCAAAAATGAAAATTAACATGGATATTCCACTTTTTTGGGATATTCTTTGCCACTTATGAATTTTGTAATTTGAAAAATATTCCCAAATATTTCTAAATTACAACTTGCTCAAGTGGATTTTTATTAACCCATTAATCTGTCATTTGTACATGTATAATATTTTAACAAAAATCATGACCTTTTTTCTTTTGGTAGCTAATATTCAAGAATTCCCCACAAAAATATATTGAGAGAGCATTCTTCTTAAACCAGCTGGGGTCATGGAAAGTATCACTGCATCAACCTCAAATAATAGTACTGAGAGGTGTCACACATCATGTTAAGCCAAAATTAAACAAACCACATTATGACTTTGTGTGATGAATGACTCCATTTATTGTAAAGTTTCTTTTTCCTTTCTTCAATACTTTCTTCAAATGTCAAACTTCAGTAGTTGTTATAGAGAGGAAACTGAAAAGAAGTAATAGATAGGAAAATATGTATTTTCCCAATGTCTCTGATAGTGAATTTTATTTGATCCAAAGATCTACCTATTAAAGGGTTTCTTAGAGATTTCCTGTCTTCAAATTGTGTGATTCATATTCTATTGCCTTTTGTAAGTATATTTTTATTTAAAAATCATTGATACAAATTCAATATATTCAACAGAAAAAATGTTATTTTGTACACAACAAATTTTTGTACAATAAAAGCATTTTGAAATTAAACTTAAGAAAGATATCATAAGGAAAAACATTTGCAGAAAGACACATAAATATTGTGTTCTAGTTCAGTATATAGGTTCCATTTTTCTTAGAATCAAAGCAGTCCTGCTAAATGAATGTAAGAGTACTGTTTTTTTTTTTTGTTTTTTTTTTTTTACTGGTTTGGGTTATCTCATTCTCTTAAATATCTTTTTGCTATATCTAAGCATCTAGTTTATCTTCTGTCTGATTTATAGTTTGTGTTTGATGAGACACTTTATTAGCTCTCTGAAGTTTTAATTGAGTTTAAACTTTACTGAGCATTTTTAAGCACTGCTAGGATGTCCTAAAAGCAGAATAGGTATGTTTCAAATAATTTAATTATATGATTTAGTTCAGTTTCATTTGTTTCCTTCAGAAAATAATAATTCTGAACTATGAAATTTTGACCATTTTATATCCCAAATGATTTTGGGTGCACTTATTTCTATTAAGCAATATTAATTGTGTAAATCAACCAGCATATTCTATAACAATCAAACCAGCAGCATTTTTTTTCATGATTAGTTCAAACATTAAAATGCATGCTGAATATCAAATTGCTTTGGAGTTTCTTAAAAAATAAATTTCA